CCCCAGGTTCGAGTGGGCGGTGCTTCCCGCCTCAGGCTCCCAGCTCGCGGCCGCCGAGCTGCGCAAAGCTCTCCCAAGACCCGCCCCACAGCCGCTTTCCCCGCTTCCCATTTTGGCCTCGTTCCGCCCCAGTTTCTCAGGGACGAAGGGTCTGTTGTGAGAAAGGAGCAGAGAAAAGGAAATCTTTCAGTCATGCCGTAGGTTAGACATCAACCAGAACTTCCCATTGTGAGGGTGGGAGACGTGCAGAGTGGTCCTGCAGGAGCCGATGACTTCATAGCGAAACAGCAGTTCCGGGCCGCTGGGTGCGAAGCACCCGGTGTGATCGCACCTCTGGCTGAGGCTGCTGAGGCGAGAGGAGAGCAGCGGACTCGTGTGTGTGTGTGTGTGTGCGCGCTGATGGTGGGGCAGGCAGGCGTGAAGGCGCTCCTTTCTCCGAAGACCACCCCCACAACCAGGAGATCAGTTGTCCCCAATATCCCACTTTCTCAGAACTGTGGCCCTCCCCCACTTAGGTCTCCCCTGACCAAATTAGTAAGGACAAGAACGTTAGTACTATTGGGGCTGGGGATTTGGCTCAGTGGTTCCTATGCCTACCTATGAAGTGCCAGAGTTAGATCCCCGATACCAAATAAATAATAAATGAATTTTTAAAAAATAACATCAGTACTATTCATTGAAGACTTATGGCACACTGGGCAGCCTACAAAGCACGTTCCGTACAGTAGTGACATACTGCACACCAACCCATTTTATGGATAAGGCACCACTGGACACTCCTGTCATTTTACCCGACTTGCCCCAAGAAGTCACACGGCCAGTGAGAAATTCACACTAATGTGTTCCTGACACCCAAACCCAGTTCTGATGTACCAACCGAGCTGTTTTCTCGGCGGGGTGGTGTGTGGGGGTTCTTCGTCTCCCACTCTCCTTTAAGGGCCGAGGCTGAGTGCCAAGATGCTGAGCAAGCTCTTTGGCTACCACCAGGGGGAGACAGAGGCCAGCCTAAACGCCCCCGGTGGGCTGCCTGTTTCTGCTTTTTTTCCCCTGGGGAGGCTGGTATTGATCTGATAGACTTACGTCCCTAAACATGGTATCAGGAAGTTGATCGATCATGGGCCCCCAGAGACAACGGCCCAGCCCACAATTCAAATGAGGCCAAAGCCCTTGTGGACCCAATATAAGTTGGGGTAGCCCCTGGGGATCACTGGCACCCATGGTTGGGGCTCCACCTGTAAGCACCAGCGGCTTCCCCACTTACCCCACTGTTTCCCTAGCTAAACCGTGCCTCCAGAAGAGTTGGCTTTCCTGGCAGCTTCTGAATAAAAATCCCACAATGGTCATTCAGCTTTGCAGACTTGCTGTAATTATGCCTGAGCGTTGAGCAGAAAGAGCCAGAGAAAACAAAGTCACAAGAGGAGAAAAAAAAAGTCCGACCCAAAGGCACACAGAACAGCAAAGGCAGACGGGGACAATGAACACATTGCTGTTTTGGGTGTTTCCCTCATTTGGGAAAAACTGGAGCTGGCTCTGATGGATGGCATAACAACAGTGGCAAGCCAAAGACTGAAGGTAAAAAAATATACAACCCCTGGTTATTTTTATTATTTAGTTTGGGACAGTTTACTTTCCACTTCTCAGAGTCACCCAGCTCCTTATTCCCTGCTCTTCATAGCAGCTGCAGTGTTGCTGAAAAGTGGGTTACAGAGCTAGGGTCTAGAGGCCCCCTGGCTCTTGCAACAGTGGATCGGGGGGATGTTGACCACTCCTTTAGGCTTTGAACAGCCCTCTACCCCAAACCCTAGGGCTCTTGACTCCTGGAGCTGCTCACCTGCTCTTGGTACTATCGCATCTACTCCATCCTGACAGCCCCAGACCTGGTGGCTCACCACGTCTATACATCCTGGAGGCAGCAGAGGGTGAGAGGGGAAGGGGACAGGCAGGAGTCTTATCTTGGCTGAGAGCTGACCAGGACTCTGCTCACTGTCTGGCCCAGGCAGGGGAGAGCAAGGCCTGAGCCAGGCTCCCTAATCCCAGTCAACCTGCAGTGGCTCAGGGCCCAGAAGTGGGGTTCTCCCCGCCCTTGCCTGTCCCTCTCCATTACCCCAGCCCTCCTGGCCCCTGCACAAAAAGACAAGTCCCTCCTGTGAACAGGGAATTTACAAAACACCTCTGCCTCTCACATCCAAAATACAACCCTATAAAGAACTGTACAACTAGCTGGGTGTGGTGGCACACGCCTGTAATCCCAGCACTCGAGAGGCTGAGGCAGGAGGACCGCTGTGAGTTCGACACCAACCTGGGCTACATAGTTCCAGGTCAGACTCAACTACACAGTGAGACCCTCTGTCTCAATCCCCCCCCAAAAAACAGAATTGTACAACTGCAGTTATATCACAATCATTCTGCTAAAGAAATGAGGTCCCAGAGCTGTGGTTCCCAAGTGGAAACTCACACCTGCAGCCCTGGCCTGGCGCCCCACTGTCCTACCCCCTGGTCCTCTGGCCCAGAGCGACGCTCCTAGGGTGGCGGTATGGTATTTACCAGTCCCTCCTGAACGTCAATCTAGGAGAGACCTGCACCGCCCCTGCACAGCCCGGGGGATGTTCTTCATCTGTTCGGCCCCCTGCACTACAGTCCCTAGCTTCCTGTGGCCTGAGCACTTTAAAATTGTGATGAAGAAACTGAATTTTTATAAGTTTAGATTTAAATTTAAATAGCGCACACCGAGCGCCTAACCGAATTGGGCAGAAAGCTCAAAGCCCCAGCGGGTCTGGGCGACGGGTCCGCGCTCCCGGCCCTTCTCACGCAGCTCCTCCTCCCTCCCTTAATCGCGGGACGGGGAGCGGCTCACCTGTTCCGACCTGGAGGGTGCGGGGGAGTGCGGCGGCCCGAAGCCGGTGCCTGGAGCCGGTGAGGTGAGCTCGGCCAGAGCCCCGCCATCCTGGCGTCTCAGCAACTTGGTGACCGACGGGGCAGAGCTCCGGACTAGACAGCGCCTTTCCGAGTCTGGGCCTCCGGCGCAGAGGGAGGGAGAACCTCGGAGCGCCGTGGGCAGGTAGGTCCCAAGGTGGGGGCGGAGTGCGGCGGCCCGAAGCCGGTGCCTGGAGCCGGTGAGGTGAGCTCGGCCAGAGCCCCGCCATCCTGGCGTCTCAGCAACTTGGTGACCGACGGGGCAGAGCTCCGGACTAGACAGCGCCTTTCCGAGTCTGGGCCTCCGGCGCAGAGGGAGGGAGAACCTCGGAGCGCCGTGGGCAGGTAGGTCCCAAGGTGGGGGCTCAGACTTTGGAGGACTGAGCGGGCGCCTCAGGGAGTGGGTAGCAGAGGCCAAGGATGGAGGTTCTCGCGGTTCATATCCTCAACCTCTTGCTGGTGATCCAGCTGCGCACTCAGCCTTTCCCTAGCCTGGACTGGGGCTTGGGAAAGACAGGCTAGAAAACTGAGGCAGAGCGGGGAAGCAGAAGGACAAATCCCAGAAGCTTCTTCCAGCTCCGTCTGGGAAGGGAATAGAATGCCTGGGCCCAACTCCCCTTCGTCAGGTCTTTTGGACCCTGGGATTCACAGACGAGATGGGCGAGTTGGATGGGCACCTCAGAGAGAAGCGCCCCCTTCTCCCCCCATAAAGCACAAAGCTGCCTTTGTAGGGAAGGTTCCCGGTGGGGGCGGGTGCACCTGGAGGCATGGGAGGGCTGTCCGTGGAGCAGCCCCTTCCTGCAGGTACCCCAGTCCCCGCTCAGCCCTCCTTCTGGGAGCGGAACATCCAGGTTTCTCTGTCCTTCCGGCCTCCCATCCTGTGTATTTCGGTTCTGCATCTCTTTGGTGACTGAGGCAGGAGAGGCCCGTAGGGAGAATGGAGAACCTGCTGGGGACTGTGGTCTCTGAGGCTGAGACGTGGTGCACACCCCGTCCTAGCTCTCTGGAGTGGGGATATGATGTGGACAGCGGCAGAATGGAGCCAGTTCCATGCAAGTCCGGGAAGCAAGTGCCATGGGGCAGGGATGAGGACTTGAAGTTAACGGGTTGAGGCAGAGGATTCAGGGCCTCGGGAATCTTCCCCAGCAGGAAACAGATGAATTCTACTCAGAGACCCTTCCCTGATCCTCAGCTCAGTGCCAAGGCCAGCAATGACAGTGCTGATTCTTAGACTCCCACCGCCCTGCTCCACTCCTGAGAAACCCCCCCAGCCACTCCTCTCAGGCTCGCTGCCCACCATGTTCCCGGAATCTGAGGCCCCCACACCTTACCCAAGGCAGGGGAAGACACTTGGATCCTGTCTGGGAACAGTTTTGGAACTGAACTGTACTTCGGTGCCAGGCCCAACTCCATGCCCTCTATCAAGCATTCCTTCACCTGCAGGAGCCTGGGCTTCCTTGTCCCTTGCTCACCACCAACACCTCTTACCCGCCTGCCTAGGTGGAGTGAGTGAGGCAGATGAACAGACAGAAGCTGGACGATCCTGTAGAAGGTAAGCGGGGAACAGTGGAAGATGGGAAGTGGGGGGTAGAAAGAAATCAAGCCTCAAGCTCAGCAGTGCTCCAGAGGGCTGGCAGAGCAGTAGAGGTGGTGACCCGGCTTACCCCTGAGCCTGAGGCCCTACCACCTCCTGGGACCGCCCTTGTCCCCTTCTATAGACAGGTCCTTTTGAACTATTTTATGCTTCTTCCCTGAGATTCTCTCCATTCTGATTCCCTCTGTTTCTAACTCAACCTCTGGGATAGATTTGTTTTGTTTTGTTTTGGTACCGGGGATCAAACTCAGGCCCTTGTGCTTTCAAGGCAGGTGGTGGAACCACTGAGCCAAATCCCCAGCCCTGGGATAGATTTTTGAGGTTTGAACCATCATGGATGGAAGAGAAGGAAAAGGCAGGAGAGCAGAAGCCAAAGTGGGGCAGTGGGCAGCGGGCAAGCTCCTGGGCTCTGGCCTCAGTCACCAAGGGTTCCCTGGCCTTGGGCAAGTCCTTTGACTTCCATTAGCCTCAGTTTCATCTCTTCCTTTTTTTCTTTCTTTCTCTTTTTTGTTTGGCATCAGGGATCAAACTCAGGTCCTTGTGCTTGCAACGGAAGCGCTGAAACCACTGAGCTAAATCTCCAGCCCTCATCTCTTCCTTTTTAAATTTAAATTTTGTACCATGTTTGGAGGTACATGCCTGTGATCCCAGCGCTTAGGAGGCTGAGGCAAGAGGATTGCCAGGAATTGAGGCCAACCTAGAATACATAATGAGTTCAAGCACAGCCTGAACTGCATAGTGAGACCCTGTCTCAACAAAACAAAACTAAATTTAACTTTTATTTAAATTGAATTGCCAGGGCCGAAGATTTAGATCAGTGGTTCCTCCTCCTGCCTCGCAAGCACAAGGTCCCGAGTTCAATCCCAGGTACCAAAAAATAAGTAAGTAAATAAATAAACAAATAAATTGAATTGAATTGCCACTACATTCCCAGGGCCTGCAACTCAGAAAGAACTTGGAGAAAAGAAGTCTCCCTCAGCCTCCGTCTCTTAGCCAACAAGTTTCCCTTCTTAGTGGCAAACAATATTGTTAGTTTTTGTGTACAGTTTCCCGGGCTAATTTAAGCAAGCAGCATAGATAAATGCTCCCTTTTACATGTTATATGCACACCGTTTACATTTTGCTTTTTTCCCTTTCATGGTGGGCTGCCATTGGAGATCACTGCATGTATCATGACATAAAGACATTCCCCCTTTGTGTTTTTGCTGCTATCTGGAAGGGACTGCATTTGCACAGATTCTCTGCAGTGCCCTCAGCCAGGCCTGTATCGATGATTGTCTGGGTTGTGTCCAGGCTTTTTGAGCTTCCATTTGCTCTTCTGTGAAATAGGTAATAACGATTCTGCTTTGTGGCATAGTCATGAAGGATTCAGGAGCATGGGTGTGAAATGCGTGGGTCAGGAGCTCAGAAAGTAGCAGTCAGCATTGTTGTTCCTCCCATGCCCCAGCCCTCTAATTCACTCTGCAAGGCCACTCTTGAAGGTCGTCTCTTCCACAAGCTGTCCCTTCCTGCTCCTGGTCCTCCTGTGTACTCATCACTTCCTACAGTGACCTCCTGCCCGGCACAAACTGCCTGGGGACAAGGTGTGCATCCTCCTGGAGAGCACGGCACAGACAAGGGGCTTGGGACGGGCACTGGGCGCTCCTGCCTGGAGCTGAGCGGGGTATGTGCCTCTCTCCACAGGATGAGTGGAAGGGCCACGTGGAGCTGGAGCCCAGGAGGCTGGCTGCTGGCAGCGTGCCTGGCCTGGCTGTGGACCTGCCTGGCCCTGGCTTCCTTACAGCCTCCAACTGCCACAGGTTTGGGACAGGAGGTGGGACTGGGGAAAGGGTTTCCCAGGACACCTGGGGAGCTGGACAACACCCCACCCCGTCCCACATAGCAAGCAAATCTCCTATGTGGACTAGAATCAACTTCAGGGTGCTGGCTGCTCTTCTGTCTACCTCCCAGGAAATTCTGCCCCTTCTGTTCTCTGAGCCAGTGCATGCCCTGGGCAGACCCATTGCTCAGCACCCCTTCCACTGTGTGAAGGAGTTCTGCAGGGAGAGAGGCCCTCGCGGGAGCTTAGGTCTAGCCTCCTGGCCTAATTCTGGGGTTTTCTTTCTGGGGTGGCCAGAGCCCGTGTAAGCGGATGATCCTCCCACGCATCGTAAGCCCCAGGGTCCCTCCCCTCACCCTGAGAAAGTGGAGAGGCAGGGATGCTGTAGGATGTCAGATTTTTTCTGCTCATGGGCCAGGCTCTGCCAAAGGGTGATGAGTATATTTGATCTTCCTGGAGAGGGACAGGAAGATTTCACCCTCTTCTTCCTTCCTTGACATTGGAAAATTGTCAAACTTGTGGTACTGGGTCTTACGTGTGCGAGGCAGGCGCTCTAACCCTAAGCTACCCTCCCACCCCCAGATAACCCTTAACCTTCCCCCAGGCAGGGAAGGGGCGGTGGGGGCCGCAGGGGTGGGGTGGGGCAGCTGGGGAGCCAGGGAGGGGGCCTGGGCTGGGTGCCTGATCTTGTGCTGCTGCCCCCTCAGTCCTGATAAAGCAGGGCACCTGTGAGGTGGTTGCTGCTCACCGCTGCTGCAACCGGAACCGCATTGAGCAGCGCTCCCAAACTGTCAAGTGCTCCTGCTTTTCCGGCCAGGTGGCTGGCACAACACGGGCAAAGCCTTCCTGTGTGGACGGTGAGTGAGAGGCCAGGCCCCGGGCAGGCGGGAGGCCCCCCCGCGCAGAGAGATAAGGAGGTCTGTTCTGGCCTTGCCATCTGCTGGGCTCCAATTTCACACCCATCTCAGGGGCTCCAGTGATCAGAGTCTCAAAGGGTGGGTCACCCTCTGGGGAGCGGAGGTGAGACAGAGCCAGCCAGGGTCATAGATAAGGAGGCTTCCGTTAGGTGTCTGTGCCCCCACCAAACCCACACCCAGGCACACAGCCAGCCGCGCTCCCTCACACTTACTCCTCTGGTCTGGTTGCCCCCGCTGCTCCCTCCCCTCGCCCCGTCCACCGTCCCTTTCATTCTCAGCCCTGCTTCTGCCCTCCCGTCTTGCTGTCCTTCACACACCCTCTTCCCTCCTCCCACCCACACTTGTGTCCTCACACTCACGAGGCATCCGTTACCACCCTGCTTTGCTCGCATGCACTCTGGCAGTTCACACCTGGTCTTCAGACTCCTGCACATGGCTTACACACTCACACATACCAAAGGGTCTGCTGAAGATCGTGCCTCTGTTGCTTTGCCCACCTCCCGCCCCACCTCAAGATCTTTGGTGAGGTGCAGAGACCTGTGGCATTGCACTTGACAGGGTTATGTCCCAGGCCTCAACTCAAGTACAGTGGTACCTCTCTGGGGTGGGGACAAAGGAAATACAAGGCTTAAAGCTGGGGTACACGGAAATGGGCACCATCAGCACAGACCCTTCTTGCCTGCCTGCTGCGCTCACAGAGAACTTAGAGCTGTGCTCCTGCCTCTTCCTGTCCCACAGCCTCCATCGTCCTGCAGAGGTGGTGGTGTCACATGGAGCCCTGCTTGCCAGGGGAGGAGTGCAAGGTGCTCCCAGACCTGTCAGGATGGAGCTGCAGCAGTGGACAAAAAGTCAAAACCACCAAGGTATCCCGCTGGGTGGACTCTTCACCCTACCCCACTTCTTTCTCCTTCACCTGGGACACCAAAGGAGGCACAGGAGCCCTGGAGGTCCATGATGGCAGTACCTCAAGGTGGGATTGGTGATCCATGAGAATGTATCCCCAGACAGTCCTGGGTCTGTCCTGACCCTAGGGGTTTGAGTTACAGCACTGGATCTGAAATCCAGTGTGTTCTTCTGGGCAGATTCTTGATGTTCCTTCCATGTGCCTCAGTTTCCTCTTCTGTGCCTAGAGGGAGTTGGCCTCCAGAAAACACCAGGTCTGTAAAAACAAAGCAGAGGCCAGGCGCATAAGCATGCACCTGTAATCCCAGGTACTTGGGTAGCTGATAGGAAGTTCGAAGGCATCCTGGACCAGTTAGTGATAGCTTGACTCACAAAAGTAAAATAAAAATGGCTAGGGATGTAGCTCAGTGGTAGAGAACTTGCCTAGCAGGCCCAAGATACTAGGTTCAATCCCCATACATGTACATGCACACATACACACTCATGCACCAGAAGAATTAAATTGTCTAGATAATTCAGGAAAGGTGTTGCTATCTCTACTTGAATTCCAAGTACAGAAGCCACTGTGCCAACTACTTCTGCCATGGACTGACATCCACCTCACCCTACTCCTGTGATCATTAACCCTACAGTTCATACCTACCTTTCTCCAGTCAAACCGCTCTGCCTGTTGTGAAAAAGGATTATTATTTTCACGGTTTGCTGGCTGCCCCACAAAACAAGAGGTAATTAAAATTTTCTCCAAGTTGTTAGCAATTCCAAGTGTGTGTCATGGCTAATTAGTTGCATCGTTTTGTCCTCACCCATTTGTACAGACGAGTGACCCTGGAGGGCCACCCAAAGAGCTGCCTTCTGCCTTCCCTCTCCACACACACACAGCAAACAGGTAAATAAACAGAAGGAAAGGTAGCTCCAGTGTTCTGAAGAAAGCAACCTTTTTCATAGAGCACAGATCAAAAGGAGCCGCGACAAGAAATCATTTGGCTGGACATAAAGCACAGCATCCTACCTGAAGGCAGGGAAGGGAAACAGCCAATCTCGGTATATTTCAGCCTATGAGAGAGTGAGAGCCACCACAGACCTTGACCTCTGCCGCCACGTTAGAGTTTTGTTTGTAGTCTAAGGCTGATCACCGCCCTGAGACTCAGAAGTGAGTGGAGGTGAGGCTGGGCCACACCTTCCCAGTCAGGACTTCTGTAGGAGAAGATCAGCAGCAACGATCTCTAAACAACCTGCATATCCTGGGGAGCATGCCGGAAAGGCTCCACACTAACCTTCCTCTGTCACTTTCTCTGTAGGTCACAGGCTAGCTCTTGGGGGTCATGGCTGAGGACAGGCTTGATTAAGCCCTGGACTGAAGAGTGAAGAGTGCTTCGCTGTCCTGGACACATGTTTCACACCAAGTGCAACACCAGTCATCCCAGGGGCATTTCACTGAAGCTGCTCAGCAGATACGATGGATCTCCAACCATGAACCTAGGCTGCTGTGTGCTTGAGGACACAAACAAGAAGGTCAAGACACAATTCTTGCTCTTAAGGAATGTCCAGCCAAGTTGGGGAACTGAGGGCAGATGGGTTCGATAACTCACAGTATGTATCAGGGCTTCTGAACCACCTGTCTGCTGTGGGCATGGTGGGAGGGGTGGAGATGAGATTCCCAAACCTCTTCAGCCATCCCGTGACCACAGGGTAAAACCCAAGAGATCCCATTTGGCACCTTCTCTCCCATCCCTCACATCAGTCTGCACCAAGCTGCTAACACGTTGAAGGAAAGCCCTCTGCCGTATGCCCCACCAGCATCCGGATGGGATGGATTGACTTGGGGAAGGCAAGCAAAGTTGAAGTCCAACAACTTTCTAGCAAAGCGCCAGCAGGAATGTGGCGTGGCTTGGGCTGTTTGTTGAGTGTGGGATGAACAGGTGCTTAGAATCTCTTGCCCCTTGGGGGCTTTTGTTCATTTGTATTAACAGAGGAGGAAACTGAATCCTAAAGTGGTGAGGCGATTTGCTTGAGATCTCACAGCCTGGGTGCCAGTCTCTCTGTCTGAGCAGATACTAAGTTCCAACCTGGTCCTTCCATGTTAATTTTTCTCAAGTATGGGATCCTGTAAAGTACTAGCTGAGTAGCAGCAGCACTTTTTTCAGGAGATGCTAGAGTGGGGACTTGGACCACGGCCACGGTTCTCTTGTCCAAGATAATCCAGAATACCTACACCCTGGGGCATGGAATCACTTGGTCTCCACTCTGTCCCAGTTCCCCAAATTCCCACACAGACCTCATGATAGGCCAGAGGTTACTCAGCCCAGTTAGACCTGAGGAGCTCTGAGCTAGTGGCACTGTTACAGCCTCTGACCCATCTCTAGAGTCTCTGGACTGGAGGCTCTGGGGGTATAGGGCTGGTCAGAGCCCTCTCCCCGGGATGCTTATGCTGGGGCAGGTGTGGCAGGCTGCAGCCTTTGTCCGGGACGGAGGGTCAGCACATTTAGGCTTGAGGATGAAAAAGCCTCAAATAAAAGGGGCTTCAGAAAAAGGACCACAGCCTCTATGCCTGTGGGCGTCCCTGGGACTTCAGGGTGTGCGGTGTCTATTAGTGACCAGCCTGGGAGCTACTGAAGTCTCACCATTAGAGAAAGCCAATCTGATGGTGGTTTGGGGCTGAGTCTGTTTCCCTGTCTTCACCAACATCACACAGTAGTCAAGCTGTCACTCTCATCCTCACCCACCCCGGTTTGTTTTGATTATTTCTGTTAATGGAGTGAACAGTAATGTGAGCATCTCACTGAATTGTAAATGACAGGGCCCTGCCAACATCAGTCTCTGCCTGTAGTGAGCTCATGAGGTACAGTAGTCGAGGAGCGGATCAAAGGCTGTCATTGCCTCCTTCAAGGCTGGGAAATGGAGGCTGAAGGACAGACCAAGGGGTTGGCAAACTTTTTCTAGAAAGGGCTTAGATAGTAAATATGTTAGGCTTTGCAGACCACAAATCCCTCTTGCATATTTTGTTTTTATTCAGAAATGCTGGAGGATTATACAAAAGCAGACCCTGGCCCCATTTTAGAGGTTTGCCAACCCGAGGGAACCCTTGAAGCCACCTCTGCAGCATGAGGCAGCCTCCCAGCCTCCGGGTGAAAACCTGAGAACAAGGGCTGGGGTGGGTTTTGTTTTTCTTCTAATGCTCCTTGCAAGATAGGTGAGTGAATTATTTAGGTTACAAATGAGACAGCTTTAGCAGTCAGGCAACAAAAGCCTGCTCTCATGGAGGTTACAGAGTAGGCTTCTCCACTCCCTCCTCAGCCTTGACACCGTGTCCAGGAGGCCGCAGACCCCTGCTCGTCTGAAATCCACAGCCACTAAGAAAGAAGGGCACCGTGATGCTGCTGTACCCTCAGCTGCCAACCACTGCCAGCTCCTGCCTCAGTCAACCTTCTAGCTCCCTGACCTTCCCAAGTGCCTCTTGTTCCTGCTCACTGAAAGGACCTCTTTCCTTTGATGTGTGGGGGAATCTGCTTGCTCTGTTTTATTTCCACAAAGCCTCATTTCGCCAGACCTGTTCAGGTGTTTGTTTATTTTGGTACCAGGGATCAAACCTAGAACCTTGTGCTTGCAAGGTAGGCAGCAGAAGCACTGAGCTAAATCCTCTGCCCTCAGGTGTTTATTCGGTAGGCTTTGAGAGATACCTCTTTTTTTTTTTTTTTTTTTTTTTTTTGAAAAGATTTCACTTTTTTGTTTTTTGCCCTT